AGTAATATTCCACTGTATGTATATATATATATATATATATATATATATATATAAAAAACACATCTTCTTTATCCATTCACCTGTTGATGGGCATGTGGGTTGCTTCCATATCTTGGGTATTGTAAATAGTGCTGCTCTGAACACTGGGGTGCATGTATCTTTTCAAATTAGTGTTTTCATTTTTTTCCAGATAAATACCAAGGAGTGGAAATGATGGAGCATATGGTTGTTCTATTTTTAGTTTTCTTAGGAACCTCCATATTGTACTCCAGAGTGGCTGCACAAAATTACATTACCACCAACAGAGTACAATTGTCCCCTTTTCTCTACATCCTCTCCAAAAATTGTTATTTGTAGATGTTTTGATAATAGCCATTCTGACAGGTGTGAGGCGATACCTCACTGCTGTTTTAATTTGCGTTTCTCTAGTAATTGGTGATGTTGAGCATCTTTTCATGTGCCTGTTAGCCATCTGTATGTTTTCTTTGGAAAAATGTCTATTCAGGTCTTCTGCACATTTTTGATTGGGCTGTTTGTTTGTTTTTTTATATTGAGCTGTGTGAGATGTTTATATATTTTGGTTATTAATCCCTTAGGCAGATGAAATGATATTTTATGTAGAAAACCCTAAACTCTCCACCCCAAAATTATTAGAACTAATAAATGAACTCCGCAAACTTGTAGGATCCAAGAGCAATATACAGAAATCTGTTGCATTTCTATACACTAATAATGAACTATCAGAAAGAGAAAATAAAAAACAACCCCATTTAAAATCACATCAAAAAGAATAAGATATCTAGGAATAAATATAACCGAGGAGGTGAAAGACCTATATTATGAAAACTATAAAATATTGTTGAAGGAAATCAAAGATTATACAAAGAAATGTAATGATATCTCATGCTCTTGGACTGGAAGAATTAATATTGTTAAAATGACCATACTACCCAAAGCAATCAACAGATTTAATGTGATGCCTATGATAATACCCATGACATTTTTCACAGAACTTGAACAGATAATCCTAAAATTCATATGAACCACAAAAGAGCCCAAATCACCAAAGCAATCTTGGGAAAAAAAAAGAACAAAGCTGGAGGTATAAAGTGTCCAGTCTTCAGACTATACTGCAAAGCTACAGTAATCAAAACAGCACGGTACTGACACTATCACAAATACCTAGATCAATGGAAAAGAATAGAGAGCCCAGAAAAAAACCATGCACCTATGGTCAATTAATCTATGACAAAGGAAGCAAGAATATGCAATGCAGAAAAGAGAGTCTCTTCAATAAGTGGACAGCCACGTGTAAAACAATGAAATAAGAACATTCCCTCACACAATATACAGAAATAAACTCAAAATGGATTAAAGACTTAAATGTAAGACCTGAAACCATAAAACTCCTAGAAGAGAACATAGGCAGAATACTCTTTGACATAAATTGCAGCAATGTTTTTTTTTTTGGATCTGTCTCATAATGCAAAAGAAAAAAAGGCAAAAATAAGCAAATGGGACTTATTTAAACTCAAAAGCTTTTGCACATAAAGAGAACCATCTAGAAAATGAAAAGACAACCTATGGAATGGGACAAAATATTTGCAAATAATATAACCCTAACCATTGCTTCCTAAATCCAGATCCTTACCTCTGTCTTTGAGCTACAGTGTCAATCCGTTGTTTGTGGAGCCTCAGATAACACTGGAGTGAGAGAAATGATCTTTTCCCATGCCTAGGGCTGAATCATGAAAGGACTATTTTTTTACTAAAATGACCAAATACTCTAGGATTGCAAAACCACATCACAAAAATCTGAGCCCATAGTCAGATCTGTAAACCCTGGGGATATTTAAAAGAAAATAAGCAATTCAGTTGTCCAAAAGATTAAATAACAACAATGAAAACATGATGTTTAGAGCACAATACTCTCATTTCCAATAAGACAGAATGGTAAGAGTAATTGAACCAAAGTCTCTTGATTTTCAAAACTCACCTTACTAAATGAAGTAAAAAGGCACCAATAAAGCTTTCTATCCCATAGCCTTTAAAGGCCTTTACAGTTGATCTTCACAAACTAATCCTTAGACTCTTGAAGTCAAAAAACTATTTCTAGATAAGGTATTCTCTTTTCATCCAAGAGTAGATATATCTTCTTAGTTTGATTTAAATTTTTCTCTTATTCAGAAAAGATGACCTAGAGAAATAGGAAAAAATTATTACATGGATAAAGGAATCTGCAAAATCACAGTCGACACATTTTTCATGTTGATATTTGTTATTTCTATTATAAAATTACAGTCTTGGTTTCTAACCATTTCTTTGTTAAATGATCATAACATGTAGTATATAATCAGTTACATCAAGTGTCTGCTGAATTATGGAGCCAGCCTGGAGAAGTGCTGCTTCCCTCATTTTCCTGTTTTGAGTGACAGAATTTTATTGCAGCTTTTAGTGGGGATCTAACTTGCCCAGTGGGAATAACTATGAGAATAACAAAAGGAGTTTTGTAATGAGCGTATCGTATAAACAACCGAAAAGTTAACAAAAATAACTAAACCTGTATTACAAAATGAGAATTATGTATAATCATAATTAACTCAAGCACATAGGATGAACAAGAAATAATGAACTCTGAGATTTCGATATTCCAGCTCTTCTCAGGAGCTGGTCAACCTGTGACAGTTAAAACTATTCTACTCTTTTCTGATTGAATATTTTCTCTTTCTTGTTTTGGGGTTCTTCTGTTTCTTTCTAATTTTAAAAGAAGTCTGCATTTTTTAGCTTACAGTTGCATCAACTTGTAATTTTAAATATGAGGTATTTATTCTCTATCTAAATAATTAAAAAAAATTTTATTTTATATTGGAGTATAGTTGATTTACAATGTTGTGTTAGTTTCAAGTGTACAGCAAAGTGATTCAGTTATACATATACACATATCCATTCTTTTTCAGATTCTTTTCCCATATAGGTTATTACAGAATATTGAGTAGAGTTCCTTGTGCTATGCAGTAGGTTCTTGTTAGTTATCTATTTTATATATAGTAGTGTGTGTATGTTAATTTTTTTCCCTTCAAAACATTGTGTAAAATCCCTGCAATGACCTGTCTGCCACTGACTGGAATTCCAGTCTTGACCCCAGAGCTGTGTTGGGTCAAGACTCAGGCTCCATGGTCATCTGGTCATGGTCCTGTTGGCCCAGGTTGCCTCCTTAGACTGCTTGACATTACCAGGTTTAGCGCCTCATTCAATGTTACCACAGTATCAGATGCATTTGGTTAACTCCAACTTGCTGGTTCTGAAAGTGGCCATGTTTGTGGACTTTAATGCTTTCATTGCTCTTGGAAGCATCTGTAGTCTCTTTGCTTGTTTTCTGCTCCAAATTTGGACTTCGCTTTTTCCCTCTGCTCCAAGCCTTCCATCCCAGGTAACAGCCTCACACTTATCTCTTATCTCCAATAGAAAGTAACAGATAATATGATGAATTAGTGTTCTTAATTTCATTGAGAAATGGTTAACGTAAGAGTCTTGTATAGGTTCCATTCTATCACCAATTGTGGGTAGGTCAGTCCACGTTTTGAAATCATAGCTTTCTTATCTAAGGTTTGATCCAGTTTTGAAAACATACGCATTTCCTGCTTTTTTACCAAGGTGAGGGTGTTCCTATTTCTATATTTCTGAGAGTTTTTATCATGAAAGGGTGTTGAATTTTGTCAAATGCTTTTTCTGCATTAATTGATATGATCATGTGATTTTTAATTTTGTCTGATAATATGGTAAAGTTTGCTTTATGACTAAAGATATGGTCTGTTTTGGTATATGTTCCATGGGTACTTGAAAATAATTTGTATTCACTGCTGTTGGGTGGACTGCTCTATAAATGTTGATTACATCCTGTTGGTTGAGGGTGTTCAGTTCTTTTACATCCTTGCTGAATTTCAGCCTAATTGTTCTATCGGTTGTTGAAGGAGGGGTGTTGAAGTCTCCACCTGTAATTGTGCATTTGTCGCTTTTTCCTTTCAGTTCTATCAGTTTTTTCTTCATGTACTTTGAGGGTCTGTTGTGTGGTAGACACCTGTTCATGATTGCTGTGTCTTCTTGGTGGATTGATTCTTTTATCGTTACATAATATCCTTCTCTGTCTCTGGCAATTTTATTTGCTCTGAAGCCTACTTATCTAATATTAATATAGTTAATCTTGCTTTCTTTTGATTGGCGTTTGCATAGCATGATGTAAATTTTCCCATCTTTTTCTTTCAACCTGTCTATATTGTTATGTTTGAAGTGAGTTTTTTGTGAACAGCATATAGGTGGATCAGGTTTTTAATGCACTCTGCCAATCTTTATTTTTTAATTTGTGCATTTAAGCAAAGTAATTATTGGTATGGTAGACTTTAAATCTGCCATTTGTTTTTTGTTTGATCTGTTTTTCATTTCTTGGTTTTCTTTTTCCTTCCTGCCTGTGTGTTACCTGAACATATTTTAGTATTCCATTTTGGTTCATCCAGTGTTTTTGAATGTATCTTTTTATGCAGTCTTTTAGTGATTGTTAGGTATTACATTATATATTCATAACTTGTAACCATCTCCTGGTATCATTATTTTACCAATTTGAGAGAAGTATAGAAACCTTATCTTTATGTCATTTTACTCTCCCCCATTTATAAATGGCTTAAATCTTTTTCTGTATTCATTCAGAACCACATCTAGCAGTATTATGACTTTTGCTTCAACTCTCAAACATAATTTGGGAAAAACCCAAAATAAGAAAAAACAATGTTTTACGTTTACATCGTATTTACTCTTTCCATTGTTCTTTCTTCCTTTCAGATGTTGCAAATTTCCTTCTTTCATCATTTCTTTTCTGTTTTGAGAACTTCTTTTAGCTGTTCTTTTAGGGTAGGTCTATCGGTGAGAAATCTTATTAGTTTTTCTTCGTCTGAGAATGCCTTCTTTCCTCTTAATTTGTGACGGGTATCTAGCTGAGTATAGATTTTGTGTTGACAGTTCTTTTCTTTCATCACTTCAAAAATGTTGAGTCACTTCCTTATGGCTTCCATGGTTTCCCATGATAAATCTGTTATTCAGACGGTTTTTCTTACATAGTTAGGATACCATTTCCCTTTCACTTTTCAGCTATTATTTCTTTAAGTGCTTTTTCAGTTCTGTCCTCTTTGCCTGCTTCTTCTAAGGACTCAGATGACAAGAATGTTAAATATTTTGTTATAGTCCCAGAGGTCCCTGAAGGTCTCTTTACCCTTTTTCAATCTATTTTTCTCTCTTTTTCAGATTGGGTAATTTCTCTTGCCCTGTCTTCAAGTTCACTGATTCTTTCCTCTATCCCCTCTATTCTGCTGTTGAGCGCATTCACTGAGTTTTTTATTTTGGTTACTGTACTTTTCAGTTCTAAAGGTTTCATTTCTCTTTTTGTCTTCTGTTTCCTTGGTGATACATTCTACACTTGTTTGTTTCAAGCACATTTGTAATGCTTATTGAAGCATTTTTATGATGAATCCTCTAAAACGTCTATCAGATAATTCAAACATTTTTATCATCTTTAATGTTGGCATCTATTCATTGACTTTTTTCATTCAGTTTGAGATCTTCCTGGTTCTCGGTATGAGTGATTTTCTATTAAAACCTAGACATTATATAATAGGATTTGGATTTTCTTTAAATTTCTGGTCTAGGTAATTTCTTGTAGAAGGGCAAACAGAAGTGGAGGTTGCACTGCCTCCTTCTGGAGATGGGGTGGAATTTCAGGTTCCCACTTGATCTTCATTGACACCTGAGGGGAAGGGCTCCTCATTAGTGTTGGAGTCCCTTTCCTACACTCAGCCTCCACTGCTACCTCCCTGTGAGAGGGGTCAAGGGGCCTTGTTACTGCTCCCCTCATGGCCTCCACTGACCTCATGGCCTCATTACTACTGGGTGGAGATAAAAGGCCCAACTCTCCAGCCAGCCTCCTCTGAAAGCACCCCAGCAAGGAGGGACAGGGCATCTCATTGCTGTTCATACTGCCAAGTAGGTGCGGAAATCTACGTGGTGCCCGCTGACACTGCCTGGGAGGGAGGAAGGTCCCAGTTCCTGCTCAGTTTTCTCTGGCACTAGACCAGTGGGGGTTTTAAGGGCAGGTTGGTGCCACTGCCATTACAGCCTGAGAACAGTGGAAACTAGGCTTCCCACCTCAGCCTTTGCTGGCATGGGTAAGGCGGGGCTCCGATTTTTTCTGCAGTGTTTCCCTGCAGCAGTGCAGTTACTGTCTAACAGTCTTGCTAGTTGCCCATTTCTTGGTTCTTTGGCTACAGAGCAGGCTTGTTTTGTTTGGTCTGGATTCACTGGCAATTCTGGGTTGCTGGCTTCTTTAGCTCCAAGTCTGGGATATGTGAGGCAAAGAGAAAACACCACGAGCACATCACCTCTGGTCCTGAGGTCTCAAGCCAATCTGGTCCTGAGAAGAACCAATCATCTGTTGGTTTTATATAGAATGTCAGGGTTTTTAGTTCTACTTGGTGGAAGGAGTAAAGAAAACACATTTATCCCATCTTCCCAGAGGTAGACTTTTAAAAAAATGAAACTGCAGTAAGCTACTATAAACACTAGAGGTCTCTTCTAACATACTTATAAAAAAATTTTTTTTTTAATTGAAGGGAGGCCAATTTTCAGCATTCTCAAACGTAATTCTGAAGGACTAAATTGGTGTTTTATTTTCAGTTCTTAAATAGCCAAATTTTCTTAAATTTCATCTTGAAAAAAATCAGCTTTATCTAATTATTTTCTCAAGATTACATTATTCAGTGGAAGAGGTTATAGGCCTGAGTAAACTGTGGTTTTATTATTATTCATCCACATTAATCAGTTTATTTTTGACATGTTATGTTCATTAAAATCTCTGAAGGAAATACATCACTGCCTGTGAAGACATTACTATCTGAAACTACAAAGTAAAACTTAAAATAAGGTTTCAGAATTTTGAAATTAGTTCTATTATTTATGTATCTTTCATCAAAAAACATTCATTGAAAACCTAAATTATTCCCACAGCTTGAAAAAGGCAGTTCATACACACACACAAAAACCTTTCCCATTTTAGCAAATCTTGTCAGCTGCAGTAGGACAGCAGATGTCACAACACTTGAATTTCTAAATTTTTGTTTACCAGATGCAAACCAAAAAATGAGTTAAATATTGCATCTAGAAAAACAGAGTTCTTGGAGCTATTCCCATTGACTGTCCGCTCCAACTGGCAGTGTCGTCTGCTCGTAACCTCTCACCCACATTCTTTCACCTTCTTTCAGAATAGAGTGATCAGTCTTTCCAAGTGTCACCACAGAAATTCAAATGGGAACTCTTCACGCCTTTGGAAATGCGGATTATCATTCCGGTTCAAGTGTAGGTAAAGGTCATAAACTGCTTCTCTAGCTCTGTTCTGTATCAGCCTTTGGCCGTCTAAAAATTTAAAACCAATTCTTTACCTTCAGATAGAGGCATTCCCATGACCTCTACCTGGACCAGTGGGATTTTACTATTAAATCTCTTCCGTATTTAGAAATCAAAAATTACAATAACAAAACACAGATGCCATTTTAAACCAAGCTTCCCTAAACTTTTGACCTGGGTGCTTTTGTGAGTGAAGAAGGTGAGGGAAAAACTGACCTTCTTCCAATAGAAAACTTTTCAGTTGCCTATTATTTATAATTAGTGGTCAGTCTTAACAGCTTAGGAAAAAGCAAAGTCAAAACGCTGCATAATGAAAGACATCCCCGGCGTTCACTGAAAATGATACACGTGAAACAAAGGCAGATGTGCCTTATGCTCAGGAAGCTCCAGAATGCACCTGCTGGAGTTTTCCAGTGTCTTCTCCCCCTACCTCCTGCTGACTGCTACCTGTTACTCATCCACAGAAGCCAACACCTGTCTCACCTACTTCACGGAGAGTCTGGAGGAAGCAATGAGATAAGAATGAAAGCAGGATACGGAAAGTCCAAAGTAATATCCACGTTTTCTCTGTGAACAGACTGTAGTCATTGTACTCTGTCAGCTATTTTTTTTCAGAGCTGGAAGAGACATTGCTGAAGCTTGGCTGGCATGTGGGGGAGGGAAAAATAGAACAACATATAAAAAAGCACAGAAGCCTCATTTAAAGCACTGAAGGAAACACAGGTGGTGTTTGTACAGAGTAAGAGGAGAGATTGAAGAAAGAAACACGATCCAGGTCCTGAGCAGCCTAGTTTATTTCAAAAGCAGTGTTTTCTTTATGCTTTAAAGACAGGAGGCCACAAAGTGCTTCTAAGCAGAAGAGGCAAATGAATCGATTTACAGTTCAGAAAGACCTTGCTAATGGTTCTTGGAGGAGCAGCTGACAGTGGTGAGACTGGAGGTCCCGAGATGCATTGGAAGCCCATCACCAGAGTCCAGGAAGGAAATGTGGAGTCCTGAGCTAAGGCAGTAATGCTGGGAACAGAGATACTAGGGACGTTGGGCAGAGAGAACTTCGGATGCTGGTTCTGTTCAGGAGAGAAAAGGCAGTTGAGGATGACTCAGATTTACTGATGTAAAAACTGGATGGATGGTTTTAGGTGTTGTTGTTGTTTAGTATTGTCTTCTCATAAACCTCTAAGAATAATTTTGATGTCACAGTTTTCCTAAACTGTGTGAAACCAAGGCTCCGCTAGGCACTTGTGCTTATGTGAAGCTGTAAATCACCTGAGCCTGATGTTATCTATAGGATAGACAAAATTCAGCATTCAAAAATAATTGAAAAATGAAAGCACTTTGTGTTAAAATGACATGATGTCCTGAATTTTCTTCAAAATAATCCATCAAGGGAGCAGGAGTACATGGGGTTAAAAATGAAATAAGATTACTTATCTGTTAATGATTGTTGAAAATGATCCTGTGGAAGAGTGGCAGAATACTATCCTCTCTACCTCTGTGTATGTTTAAAAATTTACATAATGACTATTTATTTTAAACTAATTAAAAAACAATTTAAATAGATGCACAAGTTTCTTAAAATTTTCTGAAGGAATTTTGTTGCAAAACAAAAGCAAGAGAGAACTTCCCTGGTGGTGCAGTGGTTAAGAATCCGCCTGCCAATGAAGGGGACACGGGTTCGAGCCCTGATCCGGGAAGATCCCACATGCCACAGAGCAACTAAGCCCGTGCACCACAACTACTGAGCCTGTGCTCTAGAGCCCACGAGCCACAACTACTGAGCCCATGTGCTACAACTACTGAAGCCCACACTCCTAGAGCCTGTGCTCTGCAACAAAGAGAAGCCACCGCAACGAGAAGCCCGCGCACCACAACGAAGAGTAGCCCCCACTCACCGCAACTAGAGGAAGCCTGTGCACAGCAATGAAGACCCAACGCAGCCAAAAATTAATTATTAAAAAAAAAAAAGCAAGAAAATACCATTCTGGGAATTAGGTAGTAATGGCAGTTCAGTATTTTAATCTCTCTGAATTTCCCATTAAAAACAATCAGAGCAACCAAGAAGCAAAACCAAAGACAGAGATCTACTAAGTTACTGTTGATGACTCCCTGAAAAGCATGGTAGACTATTCTGAGAACAGCAGCAGAAATGGAGGGCACTTTGCAGGCCTCACGGTGCAGAAGGTTCCAGCAGGGCTGCAGGAAGACTGAGGATTCTGGATCCATCCAGGAGCTGGTGCCTATGGATCCCTGACGGTGACAAACCGGACCAACTCTCCATGGCAAAGCCCTGCACTGAGGAAAAGATGCTGAAAGCAGGGTCCTCACTGAGTAGGGCAGGAACAGTAGGGGAGAAGGAAGGGGGAGGTCCAGATGAGGTTAGACAGACAGGACAGACAGGACAGACAGGTTAGACATTTACAGCCAGCCTCCTGTTTACACTTCCAGATAAAAATAGCAACAGGAACAGGGTAGATAGCTGGACTTTGCCTCCTGTGGACACTTAAAGATAACAGTCACCGCAGGGGCAGAGAGGAACTGAGTCCTGCTCATATAAAACATAAAGAGACCACATATTTCTCATTCTCAAGGTCAAGGAGACCTTCCCGACTACACATGTGCAGAAAGTCTCCTCAGGGGTCAAAAGGGAGGGTGTGCCACCCCACAGTAAGCGATGTCAACCTACCCACAGGCCTCTTGGCTAGAATCCATCTTGACTAAGAGATGTGCTCACACAGGGGAAGACCCTGAGATAAACCAAATACAGACTCAGAGCCAGACAAAGGAAGATGATTGGCCAGAGGAAACCCAGAAGAACTGCCCCATAAATGTGATTCAAACTACCACGACTTTCTCTCTTGAGTCCAGCCTTGGGAGCCTATTCACGGGTACTCTTTTTCTTCCTAATAAACACTTTACTTGTTTCACTACTTTCGGTCTCTTTGTGGAAATTCATTTCTACAAAGCCGACAGGCCAGAGCCTTGTTACCAGCCACTGGCCCTCGCGGTCTAGTTGTTAGCATTCAGGCTCTCACTGCCTTAGCCTGACTTCAATATCTGGTCGGGAACCAAAATCCTGTTTCAAGCCCCTGCAGGCTGAGGCCACCTGACAAATAAGATAAGATCAGGGGAGAGGAAGTTCACTTTCTGAAAACAACAAAACAGAGAGATCTAGAGTCATGAAGTTAGAAAAGCTATCCTGGCTCATTCATCCCTCTTAAAAAGACAGAAATACTCCTGTCACTTCAAAATGAGCTGCAGAAAAGGATTTATTAAATCTCAAACCAAGTTGTTATTATTAGAAAAAGAGAACTTGGAGTATATTAAATCCTTACATACTGTGAAATAATGCCAGAAATTCAAGCTCATGCAATGAATAAGAACTTCAACTTACCATTTCAAAATATCTTAAAATAATATAAGGAAAACTATTATAAGCTTTGATAAAAACATCAAAAACCAGAATTTTTAAATTGCATAAATACAAGTAGAAAAAAAGTGTTAAATGAAAAGTGAAAGAACCCAGAAATTATTTTGAAAAAAATCATTTGAGAAACAACGATAAACCAAATGAAACACAATAACAAATACAACACAAAATGCTTTAAGGGGAGTAGAAGATAGCAAAGGAGGTTATTTTTAAACATCAAAAGGAAATGAAGAAAGAGACAAAAAGGATTTGACAGAAAGTGGTAGCTATAGAAAACAGCAAAAGAAGATCTAATGTGTATTACAGGGGGCCTCTGAAGAGGAAAACCAAATAATTCAAAAGAACAAATGCTGAAATTCAAAATTTAATAGAACTTTCTTTAGGGAGGATGTGAAACTACTGAATGTGCCCCCTGCTTGTATGAAATAGTAGCCAACAACTCACAGTACAAGATTTTTTCTAACAAAGCTATAACTTTTCAGGGGGGGAAAAATGTATTTTAAGCATCAATGCAAAAAGACCACAGTATAATCAGCCCTCCATACCCAAGGGTTTCACATCCGCAGATGCAACCAACTTCGGATCAAAAATGTTTGGAAAAAAATTCCAGAAAGTTCTAAAAAGCAAAACTTGAATTTGTCACACACTGGCAACTGTTTACATAGCATTTACATTGTACTTACAACTATTTACAAAGCATTTACACTGTATTGGTATTATAAGTAATCTAGAGAATTTAAAGTATATAGGAGGATGTGCTTAAGTTAGATGCAAATACCATACCATTTTACATTAGGAATTTGAGCATCTGTGGATTCTGGTATCCAAGGGGGGTTCTGGAATCAATCCCCCATGGATACCAAGGGACAACTGTACTTAAGAGGAAAAGAAACTCAGTTTATCATCAGATTATGAGTTAGTACTACTTTATGCAAGATGATAATGGCATACTCTTTAAGATGCTCAAGAAAAGGGAGCTAGGGATTTTAGATTCAGTCAAACTAAAGCAAGAACTTTCCCCATGAATCTTTCCTAATGAACCTTCTAGAGAACTAACTTCAAACAACCAAAATGACCAGAGAAACAGTATCATAAAGATGGTGAAACATAGCTAAGATTGTGAGCCTGGCTCCTACCTTCCAGGAAAACCTCTATTATTTTGCACCAGACCACAAACTTCTGCCTATTTCAAGCAAAGGATTGTTTGCTTTTGTGGTTCTGACATTTCCAGTTTAGATTCAGACAACTAAGTCAACATTTACCAGATTTCTAGGGAAAAACATTTCTGGAATGTTCAGGACACATTTCAAAGAATGAAAGTAACATTTTAGCAAACTGTAGAAAATTAATACTTACTGCTGCCCAATAAATTACTCCTAAAACATAGTAACATAAAACAACAAATAGTTTCTGTGGTCAGGAATCTGGGAGCAGCTTAGCTGTTTGGTTGCCTCTCAGGCTCTCCTGCTGCTGCAGGCAAGTTGTCCACCAGGGCACCAGGCACCTCAAGGCTTCCGTGGAGCTGAAACGTTCTTCCAAGCTCACTGGCGTGCCCGTTGGCTTCACCACCTGGGCCTCTGCCGGGGCTGCCTGAGTGGCCTCAGGGCCTGGCAGCTGGCTCTCCCCAAGAGCTGTGTGCGCTCCAAAAGAAAAGCAAGAACTCAAGACAGACGTTGCCGTCTTTTATAACCTAACCTTGGAAGTTACATGCCTTCACTTCTACCATATTCTATGGATCAGACGGACCAACATCCATCATAGAAGGGGACACAAGGGTGTAAAAACCAGGAAACAGAGATCACGGAGGGCTGTTTTGGAGACTCAGAGATGTAAATTTCTCAAAGTCACATAACTGGAAACAGGAAGATTTGGGTTTTAAACCAAGATCTATGTGACACCAGAAACTATTCTATTTATAATATAGTCAAACCAAGGTGGAATGTGGATTGTTAAGGTTCTAGATCTTCCTCTTAGAATGAGACAAGAAAAATGGAACTAACTTTTAAGAGTCTCATATCTATACTTTCCACAGATAAATGAGTTTTACCTTGTCCTCAAGTAACCCTGGATGTCCACACTCCTTCAAATTCACCCTAACAGCTTAGCTGTTCGTCATTTTCAAGTAGAAACTCATAATTTTCATGTGTGACTTCCGTCTACTTGTTTTTAGTAAGGAAGGATCAAAATGGTCTGGGTAATAGGATCCCAAGCTAAATTTTAAGGAAGTGGTTTTCAACCTTCTTTTGTTGACACATTTCATTATATGTCTCAGTCTGGGCTGCTATAACAAGTTACCATAGATTGGGTGCTCATACACAACAGAAAGTGATTCCCCACACTTCTGGAGGCTGGAAGTCTGGGATCAGGGCAATAGCCTGGATGAATTCTGGAGGGAGCTCTCTACCCGGATGCAGACTGCTGAATTCTCGCTGTGTCCTCATAGGTGGAAAGCAGAGAGAGGCCGCAAGCTCTCTCCCGACTCAGACAAGGGCACTAAACGCATTCAGAGGGCTCCACCCTCAGGACCTCACCTAATGCTGACTGCCTCTCACAGGCTCCTCCTCTTAATATCATCAGAGAGCAGAGTATTCATTTCAACATATGAATCTTGGGGACACAACATTCAGTTGATAACGTCAACTATCCAAACCCGAATAAGCAGTTATTCTTTTGGAAAAAAGTTATGTTCCATGGAAGAAACGTGGCTGGTTACACTTACGCTCCAACAACCCAGAGTGCATTTTCCTTTTTAAAAACCCACTTTAGGGCTTCCCTGGTGGCGCAGTGGTTGAGAGTCCGCCTGCCGATGCAGGGGACGCGGGTTCGTGCCCCGGTCTGGAAAGATCCCACATGCCGCGGAGCGGCTGGGCCCGTGAGCCGTGGCGCTGAGCCTGCGCGTCCGGAGCCTGTGCTCCGCAACGGGAGGGGCCACAACAGTGAGGGGCCCGCGTACCGCCAAACAAACAAACAAACAAACAAAAAAACACAACAAAATAAAGCATTTTGTGAAGCTGTAAAACTGTGCCCGCTGTAAGCGTCCACTGTTTCCTTTTTTCCCTTTTGACTTACCTCCTTCCCCCATACCTCGCCACTCTATTTAC